GTGTCAACAGAAATGTACAATGGTGGAATTCGTAAGTTTATTCATGTTTAAATTTATTTCATAATAAAGAAAAAAATATTATATATACTTTGTTATAATAACACTGAAAGCTTCCTCAGATAAATGTATGAATGGTATATAACGAACAACACAGCAGGCAATGTATTCAGCTACTGAGAAAAGTTAGCTATGGAGGTAAAGTGTGGCAGATACCAAACTGAATGAAATAAAAGTTTATATGTCATGTGAATTAGTTTATGCCCGACACAAATTCATTTTAACACATTGGCTGCTGAGGTTGTTTAATTTTGAATCAGTTGTGCCTTTTAATAGGCTATGTGTTGAGATTGCTTCTGGCTTGGTATAACTTCATTTGTTCGTTTTGTCAGAGGTTAATTTCAAAATGCAATTTTTACAGTAACAAGTTTGAACTGTAATTTGACACAAAGTTTACATTGACAATATTATTTTTGAAATTCCTAATTAAATTTTTAATTTTCATTTTTGTCTATGTAGCATGCGATTGTAATATGAACTACTCTATGGGTGACACATGTACTGCACATGGTGGTCAATGTGTATGTAAAACTGGTGTCTACGGCAGACAGTGTGATCGGTGTCAACCAGGATACTATAACTTAACTGAAGATGGCTGTACACGTAAGTGGTGTCTGAATACATCTCAATCCACTCTGATTTTTAAAATGTAATTTTATGAAGTAGTGTGAACTTAGGGGGCCCAGAAAAATATGGTATACATTGATATATAAAATAATTGAAACTAAGGGGCCCTAGACAAATGTGGTATCCATTGATCTATAAAATATATAAAACTTAGGGGGCCAGACAGATATGGTATACATTAATGTATAAAATAATTGAAACTAAGGGGCCCTAGACAAATGTGGTATCCATTGATCTATAAAATATATAGAACTTAGGGGGGCCAGACAGATATGGGTATAAAATATATAAAACTTAGGGGGCCAGACAGATATGGTATACATTAATGTATAAAATAATTGAAACTAAGGGACCCCAGACTATTATGGTATATATTGATCTATAAATTATATAGAACTTAGGTGGCCCAGACTGATATGGGTATAAAATATATATATAACTTAGGGGGCCCGAATCTCTGACTACCATGTGACACGCAAAGATCACTACACTCAAAATGTTAAGAATTAAAGATAAAAAACCTATCTTTATTTTATATTTAAAATTCTATAATTTATATGCACAAGTTATGTATATTTATAATACAGTTATGTTACAATATTTTGTATTGTAGTATTATTCTGGTGATTTTTCTATAAATGAACCTAGTTTTCAAAGTCCAATACAGATAAATTTCTTTGCTTTTTGTTAAAAAATTTGTTAAATCCCAATTACTGAATTCAGTGGCAAGGTTTCAATTGTTTCTCCATGTTAAATTTTCCAGCGTGCAATTGTGATCCTCTGGGTTCTGCTAGCTTGGTATGTGACTTTGAATCTGGTCAGTGTCCGTGCCAAGAGGGCGTGGCAACCCTAGCAACAGATAGCACCCTGAGTCTAGAAGACACCATGCAATGTCGGCTTTGTCAGACAGACTATTATGGGTTTTCTAGCGGTAGTGGATGCACCCCTTGTGATTGTAGCGAGGATGGCTCAACTTCGCTACAGTGCGATGAACTTGGCGAGTGTCAGTGTAAAGATACGATTGGTGGAGCCAAGTGTGATCAATGTCTGCCAGGCTATCACGATTTTACGGCAGATGGCTGCAGGTAAATATTGCTTGTGATACATTAGTCATATGTATCGATTTATACAAGAAACGTCTCTCACATCCAGAGATTATTATACCAAAACTATGTAATTGTGCATATTTGGCTTCTTAAAAGTTAACTTGATATTGAAAGTATATCAGAATCTCACAGCCATAGCTAGATATCTAAAGTTTGTATCCTGTTCATGATTCATTCATCTGCTCAGAGGAGCAAAATAAGTGATGTGTTGTGTTGTACTGTACTGAACAGTTTTATTTCACTGCTAGGAATTCCCAATTTGATCATCGTCACTGTTGTGAAGACAAAATTTGACTAAAGTTGCTCTGACTTTGTGTATTTAGCAATGTCACATTTCTCTGTTCAGTGAAAACTACAGAAAATGTGAACGTATTTACCCGAATTTGAGCAGGAGAAAAACTTGGCAATAAAAGGGTTAATGATGGGCAAATGGTGTCAGATTTCTCCACATTTCATTTTATATATTTCTTAATGAGGCAAGCTGCATATAATCTTTGTGTTATTTATTTGGTTCTGTTTTATGAATATGATTTTAGCGGATGCGACTGCAATGTGGCTGGTTCTGTGGAAAGTACATGTGACCCAAATGGAATATGTACGTGTAAAGCCAATGTTGAAGGAGACAAATGTGACCAGTGTAAGAGTCAGACGTATAATTTACAAGCATTGAATCCAGACGGATGCCAAAGCTGTTTCTGCTACACCCACAGTTTAGATTGTACTTCAGCGGAAAACTACATTCCCGATGTCATCTCAAGTGACTTTTCCAATAGCAGGTAAATGCAAGAACTTGATGTCATGAAAGCTTCAGCCAATTCAACTTGTAAATATGCATAAAATTTAAAAATTAATTTATATGTTTGTTTTTTTATAAATGACAACTAACAGATAAAGAGGGGATACTTGAACTTGTTACCATGCCAACAATGACTGATTTTTCCATAGCGATAAACCCAAATCTGGTAGCCATATTGAATTGAAAAAAAATTCATACAAACGATAGTTCAAAAAAAATTCAAAAGAAAAATTGTCACTTTTTGAAACCAAGGTTTTTAATAATACTTCAATCAACAATAGCAAAAAATGTCAGTCACGATAAGTATTAAATTTGTTCACCCTATGTCACTATCCTACAATTTGAGGTAAAACTGACAAAATGGCAACTATTCACTAAAATGTAACCATCGTTATATAAAGAAAAATTATTCTTGTATTAAAAGGGCATGTAATTTATTGCAAAAATGAATGAATCACATGGATTTGTACCTTAATATAATTCTGTTTACCTCAAAAGCTAATAAAATTATTTTAATAATTTCTTGTGTATTTTGTATAATAATATATGTCACAATCTTTGTTAAACATAAAGCATATGCTAGTTGATTTGTTAAAAAATGATGGTACAACACCTAACATCAACTGCTGTCGTGAAATATTTTTTATGCACAGAAAATGATTTATTACAATTATTAATTTTTCTCATCAGGTATGACGGCTGGACTGCCACTGATCCATCCTTCATGGCGGCAACAACAATTGGTTTGTTGATTCCCACTGGTGATACAACCGATACTCTGCATATTGTCGCGCCGTCAAAATATCTGGGAAACAAATTAAGTTCTTATGTGCAGTACTTGTCGTATTCAGCCAGTATTAACGATGTGACCATAAGATCTTTAATGAGTAACCAATCCATTATTATACATGGCAAGAATTTCACGCAGTCAGTTGTTTATAATGGGGACTCATTTGTATTAACCAATAAGCAGACCACATTTAAAGCGCTTCTTCATGAATCTGTCTGGTCGTACGTAGACAGTGATGTTCCTGTGCTCTTGCAGGATTTTCAAGGTGACTGCAAATTTTGTTGTAGATATCATCATTCTTCTTGTAAAAATGGCTTTCTGAGAACTGATGTCAAATTTTCAGTGAATACAACTAAACTGGTTTATGATCGTTGTATGCTGTTCAGCTGTTCAGTCAGCTTGTTATATAAAAATTGCATGACACTGTCTAGGTGACTTGGCACAAACAAAAATATTGTGGCCTCTTTCCCTTTGTTTTTACCCTTATTTTGTTTATGAAATGTGAATTTCATTTTATCAAATTACAAATTATTAAAGTGTTTTTCAAGATCACATTTGTTTTATGTCATAACAAACCATTTAAAATTTAAAAAAGTAATTTGTCTAATTTTAAAAGAATAAACAGCATCATCACATTAGTTTGAAAGTTGCAGTATTGGAAATGTTGATCTAGCTGACTGCCAGCTGATTTTCCCTAAAATTTCATTTACAGGACTTATTCTGGTATCATTAACTTTTCAATACCAGTTCTCTTTCTTTTCATCACAAATTCACAATCCTGTTTGTAGTCTGCAAGATTGGTACAAAAATAGCCACATTTTTTGAGTGAAAATTGACTCAAATTTTATCTGTTGGCTCCAAAATTAGGGTTAATTTCCAATAATATTGAAGAATATAAGAAAAAAGTTCAGAACAATTCTGGTAGTACAGGCATTTCTTTTAAAAAAGTGTTCTCAAAACATTGTTCCATTACATTCATGTCTGCGAAACCATCGCGTTCTTGTGTACAAAGCTTGGAGACATGACAACCTCCACAGAATACTACATTATGCTCTGTTTACTTTTCTTTGTGAAATAATCCATTTTTTTTTTCTCACAGGTATTTTAGCAGATATAAGCAGCATCCAGATAAGAGCCACATTTGGTTATGTAGGTTTACAGATGTTTGTTTATGATGTTTCCTTGGATACAGTGGCATTGTTTGAAAATGCTCCAAATGGTACAGTTTTTTCCACAAGTGTTGAACAGTGCAACTGTGAAAACTTTCATGTTACTGGTATGTGCTAATCAGTTTGTTTTTCTTATTTTTCATTACATAAACTGTTTCTCTTCACGTAAATAATCTTTTATCTTGCTTACTAATAAGCTAATTTGCATATATAATAATTTATTCATACAAAGACAAGTCATAATGGAAGACGTGTGTGTTGATTTTTTTTGTTTCATTGACCTTAGATTGACTGGCGGCCATTTTAGTTTCCAAAAACAACATTTCGATGAGTCATAAACCATTCTCATGCATGTCTGGTGTCTTTTAATTAAAACATGGTGGTGTCTTCACCTATGGTATTTAATTCAAAATATGGCAAACTGGTGGCCATATTGGGTTATATTTTTATGTGTCTTTAATCATTTTCTGGACATGTCACAAAAACAGGACATAATTTGTGTCCTAAAATATTCATTCAGGCAATATTTAAATGTAATTTTGCATCCTAAAAAAATGCCAGAATCTTTTTTCAAAACTTATTACATAAAAGTGGTTGAAATATCAGAGCTTTTTACAGTACTTGTTATATGAGATACAAACAGGAACTATGTCATTGACATTCTCTTGCTTGTGGACACAAACAGGGACAACGTCATTGACATTCGCTTGCTTGTGGACACAAACAGGGACTATGTCATTGACATTTGCTTGCTTGTGGACACAAACAGGGACTATGTCATTGACATTCACTTGCTTGTGGACACAAACATGAACTATGTCATTGACATTCACTTGCTTGTGGACACAAACAGGGACTATGTCATTGACATTCGCTTGCTTGTCGACACAAACAGGGACTTTGTCATTGACATTCTCTTGCTTGTGGACACAAACAGGGATTATGTCATTGACATTGACTTGTATTCTATTGTGATTCCAGGAGTAGTATTGAATTTATTATACTTATCATTTCTGCATTTATATTTGAAGGCCTATCGTGTCAGGAGTGTTCAACAGGATTCAAACGAGCTTCACCAGATGATGGGTCTTATAGCATTTGTGAGGCATGTGAGTGTCCTTATATTGACCCCAGTGCAGACCCAAATACGCAGCCCTCAGCTCAGCGAGCTACTGAATGTGAACCAGACACCGGTATTTGTATTGACTGTTCATCTGGTTCAACTGGTGACTTCTGTGAGATTTGCAAGGAAAACGTCAAGGGACCTGACTGTGATCGATGTATTAGCTTCTTTTATGGATTTGATACTGAATTGTTTGGAGGTGCCTGCAATGGTGAGTAAACACACTATGTTGTTTCTTAATTATATAGTCAAATCTGTCTAATCCCGGGGATGGACATTCAGGCATCTTCATGGCCTGGCACCCACCACCAGCGAAAACAAAATCCGAAAACTCTCAGGAAACTGTACTTTGGGTTAGTTATTGGGACTCTCCTGAACAGTGTAACAAGATTACCTCCATGTGCAACATATATAAATTTGGTTGTCCATAATAACCTCAAAGTTTGGTTTGTACTGTTTTCACTGGCTCCTTGACCAATGTTCCACGTACAAGACTTCGTGCAGAGCCCATAGAAATGTATTGTACAGTAATCTGAACTGGCAATTACATCATAATAATATGATAAATA